TTATAAAACCAAAACATTGAGAAACCGAAAAATTGAAAAAATAAAAAACGCTAGAAACTCAAATCGAAAATTTGTAAAATCTAAAAATTGAAAAAAATTGACATTGGAAAAACAAAAATTCATAAAATCGAAACACTGAAAAATCAAAAAATTGTACAAGTAGAGAAAAGAGAAAACAAATCGAAAATTTGAAGAAATGAAAAATTAAAGGATTGAAAAAATTAAAAATTGGAAATTCGAGAAATCTAAAAATTGAAGTAACAAGAGATTGAAAAATTATGGAATCGTCAAAATTGTAAAGTCGAAAAACATTAAAAGATCCAAAATTGAGAAATTAAAAATAAAAAAATTGAAATATCATATAAATGAAAATGATTTAAAATCCATTAGTTGAAAAATGGAATTATTCTAAAATGACAAAATTGAAAAATTGAAAAATTATAGATATTACATATTTAAAATAAGAACTAGAAAAATTGCAATTCAAAAATCGAATAAACCAGAAATTGAAAAATCAAAAAATGAAAAATCTAAAGTGAAAAACGAAAAATTAAAAAATCGAAAAATTGAAAATCGAAAAACGCCAAATCGAAAAATTAAAAAAAAACAAAGCAAAAATTTGAAAATTGACTACTTGAGAAATTTTAAATCGAAAAATGCAAAATTCGAAAATAGAAGAATAAAAAAAAACGAAAAACTGAAAAATCGAAACATTGAATAATCGAACAATTGAAAACATACAGAGAAAAAAACCGAAACGAAAAATGGCAAATCGGAAAATTGAAAAATCCAAAAATCGTCAAAATTGTAAAGTCGAAAAGCATTAAACGATCCAAAATTCAAAAATTAAAACTCGAAAAATTCAAATACCGTATAAACGAAAATGGTTTAAAATCCATTAATTGAAAAATGGAACAAATTTAAAATGAAAACTAGAAAAATTGCAAATCCAAAATGGAAAAAACGAGAAATTGAAAAATCAAGAAACGGAAAAATATAAATTGAGAAAACGAAGAATCAAAAAAACTGAAAGTTGAAAAATCGAAAAATTGAAAAATTTCACATTGAAAAAACGAAAAATTATAAAGTCAAAACATTGGAAACCGAAAAATTAAAAACTAGACAAAAGAAAAAACCAAAAGGAAGAATTGCAAAATTAAAAATTGAAACATCCAAAAGTTGGAAAATCGAAAAATTGTAGAAACAAAAAATGAAAAACTGAAAAATTGCAAATCGAAAAAATGAAGAAACGAAAAATTAAAAATAAAATTGGCACATTGGAAAATCGAGTAAGTGAAAAAATCAAGAAAATAAAAAACCGTGACACGATAAATTGCCGTTCGAAAAATTGAAAAATTAAAAATTGAAAACTCGAAAAACTCAAATCGAAATCTAAAATTCTAAAATTTAAAAACAATTTACAAATCAAAAAATTTTCAAAATTTAAAAATTGAAACATCCAAAAGTTGGAAAATTGAAAAACTGAAAAATTGAAGAATTTGAAAAATTCAAGTCAATGTGTTATTTAATTTTTCAAAGAGGGATTGGTTGGGATGGATTTCAGGGGCGAGGGAAGTTCTGTGCACATAACTTTCGACCAATTTTTTTTCTAAAAAAAAAATCAGTGTAATACAACGCAATTTACAATTAATTTCAAATATACAGGTGTCTCATTTAAAGATTGAAGAAGTTTTTGTATTATATTTATCAATTTTACAATTTTGAATTTTTTTATTCGAAAAATTGAAATGTCAAAAAACAAAAAAAATTGAAAAAAATGACAAAATCGAAAAAGTGAAACATCGAAAAATTGCAAATCGAAGAACTGAAGAAACGACAAATCGAGGAACTGAAAAATTGAAAAAAATTAATGAAAAGAATCGAAATATAGAAAAACCCAAAAATCGTAAAATCGAAAAATTATAGAAACGTCAAAATTGTAAACTCGGAAAACTGTAACATTGAAATATCCAAAATTGAAAAATAAAAAATCGAAAAATTAAAATATCGTACCTAAATGAAAAGTTTTCAAATTCATTAATTGATACATGGAAAAATTCTAAAATCGTAAAATTGAAAGAGTGAAAAATTTGAGAAAATTATAATTATTATTACATATTTAAAATGAACACTAGAAAAGTAGCAAATCAAAAATTGAAGAAATTGAAAAATCCAGAAACTGAAAAATCTAAATTGAAAAAACGAAAAATTAAAAAATGTGAAAGTTGTAAATTTGGAAAATTATAAAATCATAACACTGAAAAAATGAAGGAAATAAAAAAGCGAAATCGAAAATTTTAAACACACCAAGGTTGGAAAATCGGAAAACCGAAAAATTTGAAAATGAAAACTCAAAAAGTTGTAAAATTGGAAAACAAAAAAAAAATTGAAAAATTGCTATTCGAAAATTTGAAGAAACGTAGGATTGAAAAAATTTAAACTGAAAAATTGAAGAAACAAAAAAAGATGAAAAATTGGAAAATTACAAATCGAAATATTTAAGAAACGAAAAACTGAAAAAAAAAATTATTGAAACAAAAAATAATTGAGAAAACAAAGAAAATAAAAAACCGAAACGAAAAATTGCACAAAACATTTAAAAGTTGGAAAATTGAAAATTCGAAAAATTGCAAACCGAAAACAAAAAAAGAAAAAATAGAACAACAGAAAAATTCAAGGTAAAAAAGCTGTTAAAAAAGTAAGTGATTTTACCTTTTATATTTATACATATTGTAAAATTGAAGAAATAAAAAAAGGGGAAAAAGAAAAATTGCAAATGAAAAAACTGAAATTGAACAAATTGAAAAAACAAAAAATTACAAAATCAGAACTTTGGAAATCGACAAATTGTAAAAATAAACAAAAAACCAAAACAAAAAATTGAAAATTGACAATTCGAGAAATTTTAAATCGAAAAATTGCAAAATGTGAAAATTGAAACAAAAAAAAACGCAATTCAAAAAATTGAAGAAACAAAAATTTAAAAAAATTAAAATTGCAAAAACAAGAAATTATAAATTGAAACATCGACTCGAATAGTTCAAAAATAAAAAAAAAAACTGAAATGAAAAATTGAAAATCGGAAAATTGAAAAATTAAAAATTGGAAACTCGAAAAACTAATGGAAAAATTGGAAATTCCAAAAATTGCAAAATCGAAAAATCATGGAATGGTCAAAATCGTAAAGTCGAAAAACATTTAAAGATCCAAAATTGAAAAATTGAAATATCGCGTAAATGAAAATGATTTAAAATCCATTAATTGAAAAATGGAAACATTCTAAAACCGTAAAAAATTGAAACATTCTTTAAATTAAAATTATTATTAGAAACTGAAAAATCTATATTGAAAAAACGAAAAATTCAAAAATCTACAAAAATTGAGAAATCAAAAAAAAAATGTATTTGTCGAAAATGTAAAGTAAAAACACATTAAAAAATCCAAAATTGAAAAATGAAAGAGCGAAAAATTGAAATATCGTATAAATGAAAATGATTTATAAAATCCATTAATTGAAAAATGGAACAATTCTAAAATTATAAAATTGAAAAAGTGAAAAAATATTTAAATTATAATTATTATTACATATATTTAAAATGAAAATTAAAAAAATTGCAAACCAAAAACTGAAGAAACGAGAAATGAAAAATCAAGAAACTCAAAAATCTAAATCGAAAAAACAAAAAATTATAAAACCAGAACATTGAGAAACCGACAAATTGAAAAAAATAAAAAACGCTAGAAACTCAAATCGAAAATTTGGAAAATCTAAAAATTGAAAAAAATTGACATTGGAAAAACAAAAATTCATAAAATCGAAACATTGAAAAATCAAAAAATTGTACAAGTAGAGAAAAGAGAAAACAAATCGAAAATTTGAAGAAATGAAAAATTAAAAATTGGAAATTCGAGAAGTCTAAAAATTGAAGTAACAAAAGATTGAAAAATTATGGAATCGTCAAAATTGTAAAGTCGAAAAACATTAAAAGATCCAAAATTGAGAAATTAAAAATAAAAAAATTGAAATATCATATAAATGAAAATTATTTAAAATCCATTAGTTGAAAAATGGAACTATTCGAAAATGACAAAATTGAAAAATTGAAAAAATTTTAAAATTATGTTATTACATATTTAAAATAAGAACTAGAAAAATTGCAATTCAAAAATCGAATAAAGCAGAAATTGAAAAATCACAAAAATAAAAATCTAAAGTGAAAACCGAAAAATTAAATTCCTCGATTTTTTTTAATTTTCGAATTCTCTGTTTTCCGATATTTCCGTTTTGGATTTATCAAATTTTCGATTTTTCGTTTTTTTTCATGTTTTGAAAATTGTTGGTGTTTTGTCAATGGACTTTTTTTCTTAAAAAAAGTTGTGTTTTTCTTTTTCATATGTATGAAACAATATACAGGGTGATGAAAAAATTACGTATTTGCTCGATGGTACGTTGTTAAGAAGGTTCTGTAGAACTCGAAAAAAATGGGTAAGAAAATCTGAACCAAATTTTTGCAAGTACTAAATTTCAAAATTGAAGAATTAATTTCCTAATTCTGATATATTTTAATGTGAATTTCATTGAAAATCTAAAATTCCGATATAAATTGACAAAATTGACATGTCAACAGCAAAAAAATGACGTCATGAAACGTATCCTGACAAATAATATAATTATTAATTTTGTTGTCTGTCTAGTACATCATTGAAGTTACAATTTACAATTAATTACAAATATACAGGGTGTCTCATTTAAAGATGCGACGAAAGTAGTCTTTTGTTTAATATGAAACTAAATTTTTATATATTTTGATTTGTCGTCAAAAAAAATAAAAATTACCAGATACAAAGATTTTTTAGTCAACAGTCTCACCATAAAGATAACGATTTCAAAAAATTTTGTACAACACTGAGATACAGGATGATTAAATTCGCAAGTTGTCATATTCGTACTCTTTTCACTCAGGACATCCTGTATTTTATATCTTAATCTACGCTTTCAGGCGACTTCGTCGCAACCCTCGAAACCAAATTCAACCGCCAGAACAAAGACACGAACTTCGTCCGCGTCTACATCAACTGGGACAGCGTAGCTGCTCTCCAGCAGTCGAAGATGACGAGCAGCGGAGTGAGCCTGGGCTCGTCCGAGTGCGGCATGGTCCAGCCAATGCGGGCCCGGATCGCCGGAAGAGTGACACCAACAACCAACCAATCGGAGTTAGGCAGCCTGGAGATGATCGAGATACCCGTCAAACGTAACCCTAACCACATCGCATGCTGCCAAGTCTCGGGCAACCTCTTCATTCTATCCGGAAAAGTCATCAACATCTACAAGTTCCAAGTGAAAACCCACGACATATCCCGGATGAGGTTCATCGATTTCGAGGAAATGGGGTTCTGCTTGGAGTTGACGTTCTATCCGATACAGATGGCCGTGTGCGAGAACTACGTGGCGTGCATGAGCAGGGACAGCATGTACATGTTTAAGCTGGTGGTGGGGAGCAAAGATGGCGGCGGGGAGATGAGTCATTCCGGGGAACATGATTTTAATTTTGGATGTAAGTGTGTTATTATAGTTTTGTATTGTCTTCAACACTTCCCCTCGAGTCGAGTGCTCCCCAGATGGGTACTGCACACCATTTTCGAAAATCTCATTCCGTCTGTCTGTCTGTCGTCTGTCCGTATTTTTATTAGACAGATATTCTTGTAAACTACTGGACCGATTGTCAAATTTTGTATGTATTAGGAATATCATGTAGATGATAAAACGTCAACCAAAAATTGGGTAATCAAACCCACCAACAATTTGAAGACGTCATCTCCATAATTTACAATAGTAAATTTGTTTTTATTTCATAAAATAAGAGATACTCCTATATTTGTGGTGTATTGTTGAATTTTCACCCTTATAGCCTACACCTCAAGATTTTTGAAAAAAAAAACAAAATTGTTTAATAATAATAGTAATAATATTAATAATAGTAATAATAATGGTGGTGGGTTTTAATAATAATGCCCTGAAATCTTGCAAACGTCTTCTGGTTATCGCAAGCATGGTAAATCCTTAATCAAAATTTATTCGTTGATCCCCTCTCAAAAAATTGATGACGTAGGTACGTCTCAGAATTTCGCCGAGTTATCATAAAAAAATAAAATTCTAAAAATCAAATCTTATAATTTTTCAAAAAATCTGAATTTGTTTACTTTCGAGTTTTTCATTTTTTTCGATTTTTACAATTTTTTCATAAGAATTTAAAAACTGGAATACCAATGAATTGATAAATACATAAAAGATGAAAAATTTTGAAAAATAATAATCGAAAGAAACATTGAAAAAAATCAAGAAAATGAAAAAACGAAAAATTGTGCTTCAATTTGGCAATTTTTGGATTTCTCAATTATCGGATTTTTTTATTTCTTTAATTTTCAACATATCGATTTCACATTTTTTTTTTCGATTTCGCACTTGTTCATTTTTTAAGTATCTCAATGTTTATTCTTTCGATTTTTCAGTTTTTCGTTGCTTCATTTTTTCGAGTTCTTGATTCCCATTTTTTTGAAAAATTGAAGAACAATCGGAAAAAATTCAATAATCGAAAAACTGAAAACGAAAATTACAAAATCGAAAAAGTGGAAAATTGCAAAATTGCAAAACAAAGCACTGAAGAAACGAAAGATTGAAACATTGAAGCTCCAAAAATTGAGAAACTTTATTTTTACAATTTTTCGATTTTTCATTTTATAATTTTTTGTTTTTCAATTTCAATTTTTTCAATTCTTCACTTTTCCGATTTTCCTACTTTTGGATTTGTAATTTCTCGAGTTTTCAGTTTTCATTTCGTCAATTTTTCGTTTCGGTTTTTTAATTATTTTTTTTTATTTTTCAATTTTTCGGTTTTTCGTTTCACTGATCCTATCTTTTTTTAATGTGAAATTTTTCATTTTTGAAAACTTTTAGTTTTACATTTTCTCAATTTTAGATTTTTAGTTTCCTCGATTTTTCAGTGTTTCGTTTCCTCAGTTTTTCAAGTTCTTGATTTTTATTTTTCATTTTCCCGACATTTTAATTACCAGTTTCTCGTTTTCGTGTCACAATTTTTCGTTTATTCAATTTTTCAAAATTCCAATTTTTTATTTTTTCAGTTCCTCAGTTTTCCGATTTTTTAATTTTTCAATTTTGCAATTTTTGAATTTCTCAGTTTTAAATATTCAATTTTTACGATTTTCAAGTTTCTCAATTTTTAATTTTTCGTTTTCTCATTTTTTATTTTTCAATTTTGTAATTTTTTCCATTTTTTCGGTTTCGAAAAGTTGAAAAATTAAAAAGTCGAAAAGCTAAAAACTTGGAAAAAACTGAAAAAACTAAAAATTGCAAAATCGAAAAAGTGAAATATCGTAACACTAAAAATCGAGAAACTTTGTTTTTACAATTTTTCGATTTTTCAATGCTCCAATTTTATAATTTTTTGTTTTTTGATTTTCATTTTTTTCAATTCCTTTCTTCAATTTTTCGATTTTCAATTTTTCTTTTTTTTTGTTCCCTCAATTTTACGATATTTTTCAGTTTTTCAATTTCCAACTTTTGGATGTTTCAATTCTTGGATTTTGCGAGATTTCAATTTTTCGGTTTTCCAAAGTTCTATCAATTTACGATTTTCCAAATTTTCTGATACGTATTTAGATTTTGAATTTTCAATTTTTAGGGTTTCCACTTGTTCGAATTTGGGATTTTTAGAAATTTTAATTTTTTTTTCGAATTTTTGGAAATTTTAATTTTTCGATTTTTCGACTTTTCAACTTCCTGATCTTTATTTATTAGAAATTTCCATTTTCGTTTCTTCAGTTTTCAAGTTTTTGAAAAATTTTTTCCTGAAGAAACTAAAGATTGAAACATTGAAGCTCCAAAAATTGAGAAACTTTATTTTTACAATTTTTCGATTTTTCATTTTATAATTTTTTGTTTTTCAATTTCAATTTTTTCAATTCTTCACTTTTCCGATTTTCCTACTTTTGGATTTGTAATTTCTCGAGTTTTCAGTTTTCATTTCGTCAATTTTTCGTTTTGGTTTTTTAATTATTTTTTTATTTTTCAATTTTTCGGTTTTTCGTTGCACTGATCCTATCTTTTTTTAATGTGAAATTTTTCATTTTTGAAAACTTAGTTTTACATTTTCTCAATTTTAGATTTTTAGTTTCCTCAATTTTTCAGTGTTTCGTTTCCTCAGTTTTTCAAGTTCTTGATTTTTATTTTTCATTTTCCCGACATTTTAATTACCAGTTTCTCGTTTTCGTGTCACAATTTTTCGTTTATTCAATCTTTCAAAATTCCAATTTTTTATTTTTTCAGTTCCTCAGTTTTCCGATTTTTTAATTTTTCAATTTCGCAATTTTTGAATTTCTCAGTTTTAAATATTAAATTTTTTCGATTTTCAAGTTTCTCAATTTTTAATTTTTCGTTTTTTCAGTTTTTCGTTTTATATTTATTCGTTTTCTCATATTTTATTTTTCAATTTTGTAATTTTTTCCATTTTTTGGTTTCGAAAAGTTGAAAAATTAAAAAGTCGAAAAGCTAAAAAGTTGGAAAAAACTGAAAAAACTAAAAATTGCAAAATTGAAAAAGTGAAATATCGTAACACTAAAAATCGAGAAACTTTGTTTTTACAATTTTTCGATTTTTCAATGCTCCAATTTTATAATTTTTTGTTTTTTGATTTTCATTTTTTTCAATTCCTTTCTTCAATTTTTCGATTTGCAATTTTTCTTTTTTTTTGTTCCCTCAATTTTACGATATTTTTCAGTTTTTCAATTTCCAACTTTTGGATGTTTCAATTCGTGGATTTTGCGAGATTTCAATTTTTCGGTTTTCCAAAGTTCTATCAATTTACGATTTTCCAAATTTTCTGATACGTATTTAGATTTTGAATTTTCAATTTCTAGGGTTTCCACATGTTCGAATTTGGGATTTTTAGAAATTTTAATTTTTTTTTCGAATTTTTGGAAATTTTAATTTTTCGATTTTTCGACTTTTCAACTTCCTGATCTTTATTTATTAGAAATTTCCATTTTCGTTTCTTCAGTTTTCAAGTTTTTGAAAAATTTTTTCCTGAAGAAACTAAAGATTGAAACATTGAAGCTCCAAAAATTGAGAAACTTTATTTTTACAATTTTTCGATTTTTCATTTTATAATTTTTTGTTTTTCAATTTCAATTTTTTCAATTCTTCACTTTTCCGATTTTCCTACTTTTGGATTTGTAATTTCTCGAGTTTTCAGTTTTCATTTCGTCAATTTTTCGTTTTGGTTTTTTAATTATTTTTTTATTTTTCAATTTTTCGGTTTTTCGTTGCACTGATCCTATCTTTTTTTAATGTGAAATTTTTCATTTTTGAAAACTTAGTTTTACATTTTCTCAATTTTAGATTTTTAGTTTCCTCAATTTTTCAGTGTTTCGTTTCCTCAGTTTTTCAAGTTCTTGATTTTTATTTTTCATTTTCCCGACATTTTAATTACCAGTTTCTCGTTTTCGTGTCACAATTTTTCGTTTATTCAATCTTTCAAAATTCCAATTTTTTATTTTTTCAGTTCCTCAGTTTTCCGATTTTTTAATTTTTCAATTTCGCAATTTTTGAATTTCTCAGTTTTAAATATTAAATTTTTTCGATTTTCAAGTTTCTCAATTTTTAATTTTTCGTTTTTTCAGTTTTTCGTTTTATATTTATTCGTTTTCTCATATTTTATTTTTCAATTTTGTAATTTTTTCCATTTTTTGGTTTCGAAAAGTTGAAAAATTAAAAAGTCGAAAAGCTAAAAAGTTGGAAAAAACTGAAAAAACTAAAAATTGCAAAATTGAAAAAGTGAAATATCGTAACACTAAAAATCGAGAAACTTTGTTTTTACAATTTTTCGATTTTTCAATGCTCCAATTTTATAATTTTTTGTTTTTTGATTTTCATTTTTTTCAATTCCTTTCTTCAATTTTTCGATTTGCAATTTTTCTTTTTTTTTGTTCCCTCAATTTTACGATATTTTTCAGTTTTTCAATTTCCAACTTTTGGATGTTTCAATTCGTGGATTTTGCGAGATTTCAATTTTTCGGTTTTCCAAAGTTCTATCAATTTACGATTTTCCAAATTTTCTGATACGTATTTAGATTTTGAATTTTCAATTTCTAGGGTTTCCACATGTTCGAATTTGGGATTTTTAGAAATTTTAATTTTTTTTTCGAATTTTTGGAAATTTTAATTTTTCGATTTTTCGACTTTTCAACTTCCTGATCTTTATTTATTAGAAATTTCCATTTTCGTTTCTTCAGTTTTCAAGTTGTTGAAAAATTTTTTCCTGAAGAAACGAAAGATTGAAACATTGAAGCCCCAAAAATTGAGAAACTTTATTTTTATAATTTTTCGATTTTTCATTTTATAATTTTTTGTTTTTCAATTTCAATTTTTTCAATTCTTCACTTTTCCGATTTTCCTACTTTTGGATTTGTAATTTCTCGAGTTTTCAGTTTTCATTTCGTCAATTTTTCGTTTCGGTTTTTTAATTATTTTTTTTATTTT